ATATATATATATATATCTTCTTATAGACCACTGGGAGTCCAGATAACTACCTGGACTTGCATGGTGGCAGTAACAGGGAAGAGACACACCTTAGGAACTTCCTATTCAACCCTTACCAGTGTCTGTCTCCTGCTCAGATGTCAAGCTACTTCTGTATCAGAAAAGTAGAGGGTAGAGACTTAGGAGGATTGTTGGCAGAAGGTACAAAAAATGGATAAGTGGGAGCCACCGCTCCCACGTAATGAAGCCCACTCTTCCAGTTCCCATGAGAAAAACAGAGAGACTGAAGTGGAACCCAGAACCTCTCCCATCCTCCATTTCATTCCAGCTTTGGCTAAAGGGACAAAGTTCCTTTAAAATCAGATTATGAAACTCCTTCATGTCCCAGAGCAATCATTCAGCAGTCATCTGTAGGGAAAGAAAACCATTTGCAGATCCTTTCTGACAGCTTCCTCCCCTGGCCAAAGCCAAGGGGGAATTATTTATAGGGAGATGGTTACAAAGCAGGCAACTCAGACAAATAATGAAATTCTGCACTCACACCTAGGAAACTGTATTCTCAAGAATCAAAGCAACACTTTGCTGTAATACAAGTGAATTCATGGCTGAGCAGGTAAGTGGATCCACAGCCGAGCAGGTAAGTCAATGCGATCAAGAGCAAGTTGAAGCCTTGAATTTACACTCAGGAAATAGATAAATGAATTCTCCAGGCAGAATGCTGCTGCCTGGAGAAGCAGAATCATCAGGTGTGTGGATAGTTACCTTCTCTGCAGGACACTGAGCACTGAAATTTGTTCTGGACTTTACCAACACTTGCTCCAAAGTCCTGACCTCATTCTTGGTGCCAAAACCGTCCTTACTAGAAACAAGTCTTCACCAAATTCCAGCCTCTGTTTACCTATACACCCTTTCCTCTCTCCAACCACCAAATACAATTTATACTAAAATCATAATGAGCAGTAAGGGTTTGGGGCTTCCATATTTCATCAAATATAAATGCTTATTAAAAATGTACCACTACTTCGTATACTACTAAAAAGTGTTCTGATTAAAACCAAGAGATGTAAAATGTTGAAAAGGAAATGTGCATCTTAGAATCAATTCTATACAATGACATGACAGAGTCAGGGAATAAGAAGACACAAGCCATTTGGTTTTAGAAGATCATGTGTATGAATTAATAGGTCCTCAATACCAATGCAAAAAAAACTCCAATTATTGGGAATTTCCAATTATTGGGATAGACAAGAGGGATTTTGTGGAAAATTATAGAAACCTGGAAAATTATAGAAACCTGGAAAATATTGCCGTAAGCAATTTTGAAAGGGTGACAAATGTTAAAATATCATAATTTAATGTTTAATGTATTCTTTATATTTAAAGTATCTTGAAGATTATGGTAATGAAGGAGTTCATTTTATAACCAGGAAAGAAATTCCTCAAAGCTTCAACATCTTTGTAATGCTTGAATAATGTTTTACCTTTGTGTGTTTGAAACAGATTTTTGAATTTTATGGAATGAATGTTAAAAGATTGGAAGAGAAGATTCAACAGTTCATGTAAGCTGCTACCAAATCAAAATATACATGTGACATTTTCAAAGGCAACAGCAAATGTGTTTGTTTTATTTCCAGCAAACATGGTAGAGTTCTATCTTCTCTCTCCTAATACATGAATAGCAGAATACCATATTGCAATATAACTGCAACGTTGCTTAAAACTGTTGCAATATCAGAATTGTGTCATTTCCATTCTCCAAGGCAGCCTTAGCACTTCTCTGAGTTCGCTCCTTAGGCAATGTTTTCTTGACCTTCACAGCAGAGGCCCTGCACGGCTAAGTAATGCCAGGTCATCAAGGTTTTCCAGAGATTTCCAAAGATGCAATTCTTCACAGTGATCAGAGAACATTATTGTCCTACAGTGCTCCAAAATGGAACTTTCTCACCAACTAAGTCATTGTTTGCAATACAAAATTCTTTCCAACACAGCATCTTATATTTGAACTGTCATTTTTCTCTCCTCTGCCTTTCTAAAATTCTCCTAAAAATAATTTCTAAATCTCACAAAAACAGAAAACAGATAATCCCTTCTCTCTCTCTCTCTTTTTTTTTTTTTTTTTTTTGTGTGTGTGTTTTGGTTTTTTTATTTTTATTTTTGTGGTGGTGCTGGGGATTGAACCCAGGGCCTTGTGCATGTGAGGCAAGCACTCTACCAATTCAGCTATATCTCCAGCCCCTAGATACTTCTTTTATCATCTATAATATGTTTTTAAAAACTGAGCAGGGGGCTGGGGCTGGGGCTCAATCGGTAGCGCGCTCGCCTGGCATGCGTACGGCCCAGGTTCGATCCTCAGCACCACATACAAACAAAAGATGTTGTGTCCGCTGAAAACTAAAAAATAAATATTAAAAGTTCTCTCTCTCTCTCTCTCTCTCTCTCTCTCTCTCTCTCCCCCTCCCTCCCTCCCCCTCCCTCCCCCCCCCCCTCTCCCTCTCAAAAAAAAAAAAAAAAAGGTTTAAAAAATGAGTTTAAAAAAAAAACTGAGCAGGGCATATGCCTAAAATTCCAACTTGGGAAGTTGAGGCAAGAGGATCTTAAATCCAAAGCCAGCCACAGAACTTAGCGAGGCCCTAAGCAACTTAATGAGACCCTGTCTCAAAATTAAATTTTTTTAAAAAGAGCTGGGGGTGTGACTCAGCAGTTAAGTGCCCCTGAGTTCAATCCCTGGTACCAAAAATAAATAAATAAATAAATAAATAAATAAATAAGAAAGATATTTGAAGCCCAGAGAAGATGACTCTTTTTTATGGCTGTACTCCCCATGAGGTTGCCTCTGGATGAACACTGGAATCAGAAAAAGTAGAGCCAGCTTCCACAGCCATAAATGATTGAAATTTTAACAAAGAATGGGATCTGTGTTCTTTATTAGAATCCTCTGGGCTACAAAGTAGGAGGAAATGGTACCTGCTAACTTGTTCATTCAACAAATACTTATTGAGCTCCTACTCTGTACCAAATGCTGTAACAAACATTAAAAATAAAACTTGATAGGAGGTTAGAAACTGGGGGTGGGGAGATGAGGAAGAGAAGGGAAATCCATGAATTTCACCTATTTCTCTCTCTCTCCTCTGCTTTTCTCTTTGCACCTGAATCATCCCTTCTATCACTATAGATAGATGCTCTTTGTTTTTCAATTTCCTAGCAGAAAGTAGCCTCTGCCAACCACTCCCAGTCATACATTATCACCTCCACCAAAGAGAACAGCCAGACCATTCAATTGGGCGAGGTGGCAGAAGCCTGTAATCCCAGCAGCTCAGGAGGCTGAGACAGAAGGATCCCAAGTTCAAAGCCAGCCTCAACAACAGTGAGGCACTAAGCAACTCAGCAAACCCTGCCTCTAAAATACAAAATAGGGCGGGGGATGTGGCTCAGTGGCTGAGGGCCCTGGAGTTCAATCCCTGGTACCCCCTCCCCACTCCCAAAAAAAAGACTCCAGAAAGAGGAAAGATAACAACACAAATCAAAATAAAATGACAATTTAAAAATAAAACTTGACTGTTAAGAGCTGACACATGCATCCATACTTGCATATGTAAATATCATGTGCTAAGCAATGTGGTAATCCCTCTGCATTCATCACCAGGTTTAACCTGTACAACAATCCTGTCAATATCATTATACTGGGCAATGTTTAGCAGGTGGCTTTCTAGGAGGAAAAAGTCGTGGTTCATAGTGATTGCCAATTTCTGCAGTGTAAATACATAAGAATTTTAGGTTGCTAGTGCCATCCCTAAACACAGAGTTGGAAGAGAGATACACAATAGCCTCTTGTGAGCTGGTAAGATGTGACACACCACTGCCTGCTAGCAAGGTAGTTCTCTTCCTTCCTTCCTTCCTTCCTTCCTTCCTTCCTTCCTTCCTTCCTTCCTTCCTTCCTTCCTTCCTTCCTTTTCCAGTGCTGCAGATTGAAATCCAGGGACTCAAGCGTACTAGTGAACATGTACCACTGAGCCCCATCCCCAGCCTGGAAGTTACTATGTTTATGCCTATTTTCTTACACAGGACAAAACAGACACGATGAAGTAAAATAACTCCTTCAATTTTGCCCAGAAAAATCTGTATTAGAACCCAGGCTGCTGTATGTTTGCCAAAGTTGAGGCCGAGGATTTAAGAAAAGGAACATAGTTGAGCATATCTAATGGTGCCATGCTGGTCTTAAATTCTACCAGTCAAACTCACTGCTTAACAAAATTAAAGATTAAAAGATTTCAAATCCAGCCAGGTGTGGTGGTGCACACCTAGAATCCCAGCTGCTCTGGAGGCTGAGGCAGGAAGATCACATGTTTGAGGCCAGCCTGGGAAACTTAGGGAGACCATGTCTTGAAATAAAATTTCAAAAAAGGGCTAGAGTGTGACTCAGTTGTACAGCCTTGCACAAAGCCTTGGGTTCAATCCCAAATACTAAAAGAAAAAAAATGAAACAAAACATTCAGATGATCTTGTCGGATGCCCTCATTTTAAAAAGAGCCATTTAGAAGGTTGGAAGTGTAGCTCTCTGGTAGAACAGAGTGCTTGCCTACCAGACACACAGCCCAGGGTTCAATTCCTAACATCAAGAAAGAAAGAAAAAACAAAGGAAGTGAGATACAGCTAATGAAAGGTATAATTTTCAAAATCAGACTTGGACTTAGAGATTACCAGAGGATTTTGGTTAAGAACTGAGGGTGTAGTTTGCTGGTAAATACTTGTCTAGCATGTGCCAGGGGCCCTGAATTCATCTCCAGTGCAAAAAAAAAAAAAAAAAAAAAATTGGTTCCCCAAAAAAGTTTTATTTCTCCTTTTTCTTTTCCTCTTTAAACAAAAAACACAAATATTTTTAGTGATGCTAGGTATCTTTCCAGCCCAGAAGGGACAAATGGAAATGTTCATGGGATGAGAAGACTGTGTGTCACTTTTGGAGGTCTGACTGCATTTCTTTCCCAAAATCCTAACCCTGCCACAGAGCAAGGGTGGAAGGACCTGTGCCTCATGGTATTCCTTAAATCTTGGGACTCAGATGTATGCTAGGTGCATTCCACAAACAAAAAAAGAGGTTCTTTGATTCCACTAAAGCAAGAACCCAGTTGAGATCTGAACCTGGGTTCTCTCTCCACCTATTCCTCATTCATGCCATTCTCCCAAGCCCAGGTGATATCTGAGTGAGGCTCAGACACAGACTGGGCCAGACAAGATGTCCAGGCCTGGATGGAAGCTTGGAGCTTTCTACTCTAGAGAGCCGGGCTGCAGAAACAACAACAATAAAGCAGGGAACTGTGAACCAGAACTGGCACTAGTAACGGTGAGTAACAGTGTCTGGCACATTGAGTAAGTCCCTACAGGCCACACTGTAGGAAGGATAATTTGAAAATTATCTAGTGACCGTGGAAAAGTCAATTCATATGTATGAAAGTTTAATAATGTAATTGTGTAGGATCTTAGTCCGTTTGGTGTTGCTAAAATAGAATGCCACAGACTGGTAATTTATAAGGAAAATATATTTATTCTTACTGTCCTAGAGGCCAGGAGGTCTAATACCAAGGTACTGGCATCTTGCTTGCTCTGTCATCCCATGGTGGAAGGCAGAAGGGTAAGAGAACACATGAGTGAGACAGAGGCAAGAGAGGGTAACCTCACTTGTAGAAGAAATCCACTCCCCTCATAATGACAGCAATCCATTGATTGCCTCTTAAAAGTCCCACCTCTGGACACTGTTGCATTGGGGATTAAGTTTCCAACCTATGAAGTTTGGGGACAGTCAAATCATACCAGATAATGTGTGCATTTTAGATAAAGGAGATCCAAGGACCTTGCTCCAGAGCTGACACAAGTCCCTGGCCCTCTGGGAAGAACCGTGAAAGCATCTATAAAGAAGAGGAACAAGGTGATTGACTTCCATGCCCAGATGTGCAGATGTCACATGGAGTTCCCCGTGCAGCCCCAGGCATTTTGTATTATCCACCTGCTGGAGCAAGCAGATGTGCCCTTTTCTTCATTGTTATTTCCATCCTGCTTTCCATTTTAACCAGAAAACAGTGCATACCTCAGAGCCCAAGGGCATTCCCTGCAAACTCCAGGCTTCTTTATCTCTCTCTCTCTCAGCAGCAAGGTTACCCTATGACTTCCCCTGCCTAAAGGTGGAAGGTTCCATGTTTTTATTATGGCCTTTCTATTGGAATAGGGAAAGAGAAGGAGCCGTAACTTATTTCTTACCTCGTTGTCTAATGCTGAGTTGTGCTTTTTTACTAATCCAATTTTTATATATCAAACACTCATGTATTATCCAGCCAGGGCATAATCTAATAATGGTTCTTAAATTGTAATTAATGGGTCAGCATTTTCTTAGAACAACAACAACAAAAAAAAAATCTAAGTGCATCTATTATAGTCATGGGAAGTATAATTTCATGAAACTTGCTTAGTTATATAACATTTATGCTAGGGTCATGATGTAAAATATACTTATTGTGGGTTCTACTGAGTTTGAAAGCCCTTGATATAAGGGGCCTCATTTTTGTCAGGGATGGCCGAGTACAGGGAATCTCTAAGTGAGCATCTGGGACCAAGAGCAGGAGCATTGCCTGGGAAATGCAAACATCAGACCCAATCCAGACATCCTGAACCAGAACCTGAGGGGTGCAGGTGTGGGGACACGTGAGAAATCCAGGTGACTCTGGTGCACATTCATGCTTGAGCCCCACAGGTAAAGTATAAAAGAAGACTGATGAAAACCATTGATGAAGCATTAGAACAAAAGAGTAATGACAAAAGCAATTGGCAACACTTTTGATAAGAATCCCAGATAAACAATTAGAAAAGCAGATTCAAAACTCTTATCAAAAAATTAAGCAATTGAGACTTCCACTAAGATCCACTTGGTAAGCTTTCCCTCTCCTAAAGGGACACAGATGTGCGTCCACACATGTGCACACACAAACGGCATCTTATCAAGTCCTCCCCAAACCCTGCAGGACATCAGTCATAGCCATTCTCATCGGAAGAGGCAGGGAAGGGCACAGAGAGGAGGTACTTGGTTCACAGTCTCACCACTAGGAAACGGTCGAGCCCAAATGGAAGCACAGATGTGCCGAAGAAAATTCAAGGCATGATAAATGAATATGACAAAATTCTCTCAAAGCAAATAAAATATGCCCCATCAATTTTTTTCTTGGTGTCATATCTAGAGCTAGGCACCCTGTAATAATGGCAATATTACATAAATTGGCAATATTACATGAGGTAGAGTAAAAATCACCCTTGGTTGAACTGACATTTAAATACAACTAGGTACCATGTATTTTATCTGGAAACTTCAGATAGACCTGAAAACCCACCACGACCAACAAAAAAGATGGCTTCCCCAGTGGCCATGCACACAGGGCTCCGTGGCTGTACCAGGGAAGGAACACTTTCCTCTGTCTGGAAGGACCAAAGGAAGCTTCACTCTAGAAGACTGTGTGGGCTGACCTGGAGGGATGATGAGCTTGCTGGTGATGCACATGATGGATGAGTGTAGTCTGACGGGCAAAGACGGGGAAGAACGCTCCAGATGCAGGGAAGAGTAGAGAGTTTGAAAATACTGCCTGGGGTGCATGAGCAATGCAGGGAGGGGGAAATGAAGGAGAGAGCCTGAGCATGAAGGGGTTTGGCAGGAAGAGGACTGACTCAAAACTTCATCCTCCTGCCATGGACAGGAAACAATTCAAAGGGCAGAGTTGACACATCTTCCTTCTTTTGACACTTCTTCTTTCTGATAATCAAAACTTGGACTAAACAGTGCTTCACAAAATGTGGCCTGTGAACTGATGGTACCGTGAGAGACCATTTCAGGGTAATAGGAATTTCTTTTGCGGGGAGAGGGGCATACTGAGGAGCACTTGACCACTGAGCCACATCCCCAGCCCTATTTGGTATTTTATTTAGAGACAGGGTCTCACTGAGTTGCTTAGTGCCTCGCTATTGCTGAGGCTGGCTTTGAACTTGTGATCCTCCTGCCTCAGCCTCCCGAGCCGCTGAGATTACAGGCCAGCACCACTGAGCCCAGTCAGGAATTTCTTTAAGAACAATTGAAAGTCTTAATTTGACTCTTATATGTATACTTTAGAAAATTAAAATGTTATTTTTAGAACAGTTGTAGGTTTACAGAAAAACTGAACAGAAACTATAGAATTCCCTTGTACCCACCTCTACATTTCTTTTTATTCTCTTTATCATCTCTCTAATCGTTGCTCCTCCTGCTGGAGAGATTGGCAGGGTAGGGCAAGAGAAAGAGAGTGGTTGGCCTTTGAGTCTTGGCTAAGCCACATACCAAGTAAGAATTCAAAACAAAATCCTTTTTTGTTTCATTGTAATCCTTTGGGGAGATTATTTCTACTTCTGAGAACATTATAGATTATAGAATACTCTAAATCTGAGCCCATTATCTTTTCCCTTTCCACTTCCACCTGCATTTGTAAGTATTCATCTTCTATTTAAGAAGTGATAATAAAAAAAAAATTGTGTTGTAAGAAGAATCTCTATTCCAAAAGTGAATAGATTAAGTGTGCCTCCCCGGCTTGTTATTTCTAAATTGGGAAACCCTATGTCTATTCCCATTGAGACAACTTCCTAAGGACAAAGGCTGTGGTTTTCCATCTTTGTGTGTGCGGTGCCAGGATATTAGCAGGTATTTTGTGGAGACTTGTAAATATTGGTTAGATGAATGACTGAATGAATGACTCCAGGATTCCAAATGCAATCGGGAATCCATTTCTGTTACTACCTAGAAACGCAGGTAGAGATGGAAGGAGAAAAGATAATGTGCTCAGATTCTATAATCTATCATCTATAAACTGGTCCTACGGGAAGGAGCAAAATTGTCTATAGTTCTCATTATCTTGCCTGTAACACATAATAACAACTCACACACTGCAAGGCTTCTGTGCACTTTACAAGGCTCTAATCTGCCCCCGCCCAGATCACATTAGGAGGGTGAGAACTAATAGTCGGCCCAAATGCAGACACAATAAACATCAGCAGCAGCCAGGAATGAATCTCCTCCATGTTGGGACTGGCTCTGTCTCTATTAATCAAGCTGGCAATGAATCATTGTCTTTGGTTTTGAAGCTTTCCTGTGGGGGCAGCATGCAGGAATGAAAGAATCACAAGCTCTGAAATCAGAAAGACCTCAGGATGCAGCTGTGACTCAGTCACTGCAGAGCCAGAGGCCTCCCAGGGCTCAGTTTTCTCATTTGTAAGCCAGGTTACGATGGCTACCTCCAAAAACACCATCGAGAGCACTAAATGAGATAATGTGCAGTGTTCTGTGTGCTACCCGCCCCTAACAGGTATTCAAGAGTGGCAATGACGGGGGTGATGAGGAAGATTGTCTTTTCATTTCAACTTTCCTACCAGATTATAATCTTACTGAACACGCTGACTTTGTGGCAAAAAATTAAACTGTGTAAGTGACTAGTAAACTCTGTACTGTCTTTCATAAATCATTGATAAATTAAGTGTGGACAAATAAGAAAATAAAGAAAAAGAAGTAATCACTTCTTAAAATAGCAAAAAATTGTTTGGGCATAAAACCTGATCTTCCCACATTTCCCATCAAGATGTCCTATTGAGCCAGGTGCATTGTTGCACACCTGTAAGCCCAACTGCTCGGGAGGCTGAGGCAGGAGGATCGCAAGTTCAAAGCCAGCCTCAGCAACTTAGCGAGGCACTAAGCAACTCAGTGAGACTCTGTCTCTAAATAAAATACAAAATAGAGCTGGGGATATGGCTCAGAGGCTGAATGCTCCTGAGTTCAATCCCTAGTACCGGCACCCCCCCCACAAAAAAAAGATGTCCTATTGAATATGTGCTCTGATCACAGACACTCACCGTTGTGGTCACACCTGAACAAAGATGGTAGCTGCCCTTCTCAACAGTTGCCCAGGTACAAATTCAAACTGATTGTGTTAGTCAGCTTTTCATTGCTGTGACCAAAATAACTGACAAGAACTAAGAGGGGGAAAAATGTATTTCAGGCTCCTGGTTTCAATCCATGGTTCAATCCACCCGGCTCCATTGCTCTGGCCCTGAGGTAAGGCAGAACATCATGGCGGAAGGATGTGGTGAAGGAAAACTTCTCAAATCATGGTATCCAAGAAGCAAAGAAAGACAAGAAAGGTCAGGCATAGACACCGTTTTGAAGGCTACATTCCCAGTGAGCTGCTTCTTCCAGCCACATCCCACCTGCCTATAGTTACTACCCAGTTGTCCATTCAAATTATTGATCCATCAAATGGACTAATCCACTGGGAAGTTGCAGCCCTCATCATTGTCTAAAAGTTCCACCTCTGAGAGACATTGCATTGAAGATCATCATGTTTTCAAACATGAGTTGTGAGCAGGGCATTCCAAATCCAAACCACAGCAGTTGTTGATAATCTACTTTTAGCAAGTGAACTCTCACCAGGTAGAAGCCATTCTCCAAGCTTAGCCCTTATTCATTCCTGCTTAATTTAACTGCAGTTATCATTAAACTTATTTTTTCTTATTAAAATACCTTAACTTGAACCTAGCAAAGTCCTCATTGGCACCTGCCTTTATCACCATGTCACTCTTACCCCAAAGCCTCTTTTTGAAATCAGTAGCATTGGACAATTGACTGTGATACAATTTTTTTTTAAATTTAATTAAGCCACAGTCTTTCCAGGGCTCACCAGGTCTATGAAAGTCTACTTTAGTCATATTATGATTTTTTCTAAGCATAGCACTTATTCTAGGTCAGTACAGATGTGTGTTCAAACTGATTCTGTCAAGAAGGATCCAAAGATTGACGTTTAGCTCTTATTAACCAGAAAGGCAACTGACATCTCCCTTTCTAAAACGCTTGGAGCTGAAAGGGGCCTGGCAACATTCAGGAATGCTTGGTTGTGTCATTACTGTTTCTCTCATTATCAGTGCAAAGAGGAAAATTAATATATTATAATTATTGCACCCTTCTCTGTGTCCTTGACCTGGCCTGGAAATGCCATCCACCCAGCCACTCTTTGTTTTATAAAAAGAAAATAAAGATACAGGAAGAAACAGGAAGAATTACCTAAGAATGAGAGTCCAGATTGGTTGGTGGGCAAAGTGAGCTGGCAGAAATAGATCTTCCAGACTTTTCTC